AGTTCTTTTGCCGGCTCACCGACGCTAAATAGCGCCTCCAACATAGGCTCGTAGCCTAGATCCCAGTTCACACCGCCTGGCACAAGTACCCAAGTCTTGTGCCGGGCGCTCTGCTTAGTAAACACCCAGACGTCCCCCGACCACCCAATTTATCATCTCCGAAGTCCCGCGGTACAGGCTACTTTCCTCCTGGGAGGTCATTTTCACCACAATAAGTTCAGGGACGACTTGCATAGCCTAAGATCCTACTCACACGCCGGGATGGGGCGTACACCAACGTCCAGCTTCTCATGTACGCTCCACCATGGGTTGCTACCCCACTTACGCTCCCGAGTAGACCTATCTGCCGAAAGTTTGGCCAACAATTCCTTACTGCTTTATACTCGCCTCTCTCCAATCGAAAACAATGCATTGTGCGTGCCGCACATCTAGCTCCGCAGTTTTTGCGTGGTTGGTCTGGTCGTTCAGCTTGCTCGACGTGAGTAATAAGCTTTGCTTTGATGGCTCTATGTTTTATTGACCCACTTTAAGCAACGAACACCCCCCGCCCTTCCACCGTCCGATCCATTTTGGATCTCACGCCCGAGAGTTTTGGGGGTGTCTTAGCTGTAAGTCCTCCACCGCCCAATGGGGGACTTTTTTTTTTTTTAATGCCGTATCAATAGGCTAATCTTCGTTAAGCTTGTGCTTTCTTTGGACTGTACCCTCCTTATCCGCTGGGGGAGGTAGAGAGGGGGGGGGGCGCATGGCCTCTGTTTTTCAGGGGGGGTTCGGCTACGGGTTGGGGGTCGGGTCTATGTGTACTGCATTCTCGAATTGTCCCCTCCCTATTGCTACTGTGGGGGGGCTTGTTTTACAAAGTTCGTTGCCAAGAACGAAAACCGAACCCCGATGGCAAACACCGGGGGGGGGAAGGGGGCTTGTTTTTTCAAATTCGCCGTGGGGCCGCTGTGAAGTTTCGTGCATCAAACGACCTGCCACAAACGGTTCAGATAGTGAGGCTGTCGCCACGCCACGATCGAACCGTGTTTGTTTCTTGTAGATCCAAGAGGTTTTGCTCGCCGGCGAAGCCTAAAACCGTGCCGGCTCGTTCGAATCTCGGCCATATTCTCGGCGAGAAAACGCCCCGCCGATTGTCACAGCTGGTGACGACCGGCGGATGATCCATGGAGGCCTGAAGCGGTGGATTGTGCTTTCTGGTGCGGGAGACGGCAATTGCAACGTTCTGCTTCCGTTCCGCGCGATACCCGACGCTACGTCATTCCTCCTTCGACATTCAACAGGCGAAAAACACCAAAAACTTTGAAGAAAAGACCACCGAACTTGAGCCAATCCCTCGATGTCATTGGCTTACCATATATGGCACAAGATAACACACCCCCTGGACCGATTTTCAAAGCTCGATTACTCCACGATGAAGAGGATGCATAAACGAAATGATATATTTTCGAAAAGCTCTCGACGAGACGGTTTCAACGCCGCCGTTTTCGGCGCTGTGACTGTTCCTGCAGTTGAGAAATCGAGCTTCGACAATCGGTCAAGGGTGTGTGTTATCCTGTGTCAATGCATTCATGTTTTTTTCAAGACGCTTTTTCGACACCCCACGGCGCCCAACCTTGGCAATTTTCCAACAGCCCAGCAGGAGACTGGATGCCTCCGTCTGGGTACCATTCCCAAAAAACAGGCACCCCTTTAATTTATCCGTGAAACAAATGGACCTGAAGGTACAGTCCTGCGTATGTTGGAAAGGTGCTGCTATTTTTCAAAGTCGCTGTTTCTTCCCTCGCGCCGGTCTGTGTTGGATGCGCTCGGACCCCTACTCCCCCGTATCCCCGTGAAAACACGATTTGCCCATTTTTTGTTCTTCATGTTGGAGCGCCATGTTGATGTTTTGATACGTTGACAGATGAATTTTGAAGTTCGTGTTTTCGGAACCTCTCTAGGATTCTGCCTAAACGCACGCGTACCGGCGTGTTTTATCCCGTCAAAGATTTAGTGGGAAGTGCCGTCCACGAAGTTAAGGGGTCGGGTCCCGTTCGGAAGGGTTTCGTCCGCTTGCATGTTTTCGTTGTCCAGCCGGTTAGGGCGGTCGATACTGATAACGCACGCACAAAACGTCTCCTGCCTACACCGTAGCCTCCCTGTCACAGCAACAGGGGGGGGAATCACAACAACTCCAAGCGTTTTGGGTCCCGTTGAGACTGACGTCCTGTTCTTCAGTCAGCCGGTTTGCGTGGTCGTTGGAAAAAGACGCACACTTTCTACAAGCACTTGCGTGTACGTATGTACACACACCAGCCGTTTCATTGGGGAAGTGCTTAGTTATTCAGTGCCGTCTGCAGAGCTCCTCTCCTGCTGCCTCCCTGTGCAGTACCTACAACAATCACCCAGGGCAACTCATGTGCTCGCTCACTCCATTGCCCGATATTGTTTTTTTTTGTTTATTTGTCCAACAGGGCGTGAAGTACTATCTTGAGGATCAGACACACCTTTTGGACGAAGTCGTGTGCTGATTTTCACTCTTTTTTCCGGTCGTCGTGTTTTTCTTTGTTGTTTTCAACAGAGCGTGGAAGACTCTCTGGAAGATCAGACGCGACTTCTGGACAACGTTCGTCGACGACGTCACGCCGCCGAGGAACTCCAGGCGTCGGTCAGGGAAGACAGAAAGCGCTTCTTCGCGGGCATGAAGGAGCTTTCCGACGAGTGCTACCGTTACGAGTCGTTGAACGCACACCTGGCCCTTATGCAGCGGTAACTCTCTTGGGCTTTCGGCGTTTACGTACGTACGGGTTGACGGTGTTCTTTGTTTTTTTTAAGGGAAAGGGTTGACGTAATGTTTTTGTTCTGGGGGGTCACAAGGAGAGTTCAAGCTCGAGATTTATGTCGCCGCATACACGCGCACTGCTGACGAGGGGAAAGCAAATACTACTGCGTAGAAGTTTGTGTTGCCAGCTGCTAAATGCATGCGTGTTTAGCATTCAAGTGTTGTGGGGTTATCTGAGTGTATTATTTTCTTGGGCGCGCGTTTTCTTTGCTCCACGGCAGCGAACTGACCGTGTTAGCCAGTCAACACGTTGCACGGTGCAGGAGGGTGCCAGCAAATTAGCGTGACGCCATGTTTCAAGCAGTGGGGAAGCGACGGAAGGCATGTGGTGGGCCGATGTCTTGTCCCGATGTTTTGGCATGACGACGGCAGCAGTGCGTTCGGCGCCAGCTGTTGGCCATCCAAGACCCCTCTGAGAAAATATTCGATTGTGTTTTCATGGAAGGAAACAAAATCGTTAGCCTCCGGACCCGCAGAGAAGAACAGCAGTCATTTTGTTGTGCACACAACCGGACACGTACGGTGCATTGTAAGGGGGTAAGGGATGTCATCGCTTCTCGACATATGGGCGGGGTGTCACGCGAGGCACTCGGTTGCTTCATCAGGCTTGTAGTTGACTCAACAGTTCGAAGATTCATTCACGACGGCCAGAGTTGGGGTGGCAGCCGTCGAAACTGGTTCTTCCAAGTTGGTCCCAATATATGCTCGTCGTTCTTATCTGTTTTTTATTATCCTGCCAGGTATCTAGCTACTGTAGATAAGACAGTGATCTTCCACGTTACGTACTTCATATTTGCACCTTCTCTCACCATGCATACTCACATACTTTCAGCATTCCTTACATCGTTCCTCCCTCCAACTTCCTTTTCTCCTCGTGGCCTCTCTCCCCTGCCGTCGGTACTGCCCAAAAACACTACCAGGTAACCCTGATGCACAACACAAAAAACACACGTAGTACACTCAGCCCAAAACAAGAACACACGCAGAGCAGGAGAGACCGTCAACGCTCGCCGCCCGACGCTTCCAACACGACGAAAATAACAAGCGAGAGTTCCCACAAGGCAATACGACCACTTCGTCACCTCCGAATGATCCTTGGGTCTAACAATCCAATGATCTGTGATTCCGGCGTGGTGGGATCTGGGTCTGCTACGTCAAAGGACCCCCATTCGAATAACGACTGTATAGGCACGCCGTGCCCGACCCACCCACGTCGAAACCAAAGCCATAACGAGCACAAACCCCAGACGATGGCATCGCCGGCCAAGATCTAATTACCATAATTCGACCACAAAAAGAAGCACGACGGGCCTCTTCGCCCGACCACCGCACTCAAGACAACACCACAAGATATCAAATGGTCGGAGAAGCAACGAAGACTTGATCTGAGCGCATCTAGTTCCCCGCGAGATAGACCTTCTAGACCCCCACGGGACCCACGGCCCTGCCGCTTCCCCCCATGAGGGCCTACCCTTTAGCAGGTGGTCGGTTCGAAAAGGAGTGGCAAGACGGCTTTCAGCCGCTACTAAACACACAGACGTACCATCCTATGCTAACCTGAACCATTTGCCCGCACGCACGCGCATCCTAAAAACATATGGGAAGAGTAACGTGTGATACCCCTTTCCCGTGGCCAATGAAACACGGGGAGCCTAAACGGCAGTATCTATCCGGCCGCGTTCAGGGGCCTCCACATGGCTCCACATGGAGGCCGTAGTCGCGTGTGCCACGTGCTTAAAACCCTAGACTAAGAACGCTTGAAAGCGTTGCAATCTCCCGGGAGAAAACGACCCCAACATCATGCGTCGCTGAAGTAGACAACGCACGCCGGGATTTTTCCTGGCTGCTATGCACTAAGGATGAGGGCAAAACGCTAAGATCCACCATCGGAGGCCGTCAGGTGGCTAAATAAACTCAAACAATGCTGGTGAGCCCACACAAGCAGCAGCACTCGCCGCGTTCTCTAGTTGGATGGCTTACATGTCCCTGCCTCTCCACCCCCTATGAACCGCCCGACCCTTTCCCCTTGTAAACAATAAAAAACGCTGAAATCAGTGTGGCTGCTCCTGTTTTTCGTTCGTCTCCTCGTCCCAACTGCCGGCGTCCTGACCCCCCCCCCGCCCAGCCGCATGGCAAAACCAGGGGCGATTTGGCGACTGGGCCGGCCGGCCGAGTTTTCGGTCATGAGGGGCACATGTTTGTGCCGACCACCGCCTTCACCCCTTCGCGACGAAAACGTGCATGTCACCACGCTCCTTCAATCCTGGCGGCTGGGCCGGCCGAGTTGTCGACCATCAAAGGCACACGTAGTTACCGACCTCCTTTACTCTTTCGTGACGAACACATGCATGTCGCCGCGCTTCTCCACCCCGGCGCACTGTGTGGCCAGCCTCCAGGTCGCCTGGGGCAGCGGGGTGGGGTCGTACAGGTAGTGCTCCGGGAAGGCCTCCTTGATGGCGTTGGTCGCCTCCAGAGCATGGTAGTGTGGGATCGTGCAGTCGACCTGAGATGATCATTCGCGTCCGTTGGACAAGGGTCGAGGGGCACACGGAGAACAGGCCAAGTACAGGCGTTTGGTGTCGGCTTGTCACTTGATTTGGAAGATAAGCGGACACAGGGGCAGAAAGTTGTCGGCGTTTATTTCTCAAGCAAGTAAAGAGTGGAATGCGCAAGCGAGGCCAGGACTTCTCCAACAAGGACAACTCGTCAGTCATGGTCAGAACAGAACGAACAGTAAACCTATGAAGTCAAGCCCATCTCGCACGACGTAATCAAGAAGGCCGGGAATGGCCACTACTAAATGTCAACCAAGTTACGGGCGCCATGTGCGATGCATGTTGTATATTTGCCAATGCACATGCAACCACGGCAGACAAGAGCTACCGCATGGCAGTGCATTTGTACCATGCAGTAGATGTCTGACAACCAGGGCCAACCCCTTCACCGAGGGCATCGCCACACGCGGTCATGGGTACAATCAGGGAGAACTCACGTGGTGTGCGACGTGCGTGGACCCGATGCGGTGGTGCAAGAAGTCCAGCACCTTGCCGTACGGGCGGTCCACGGTGTGCAGCGCGCCCTTGATGAAGTTCCAGTTGTCCGCCTCGAAGTGCGGCACGTCCACATCCGTGTGCTGCAGCCACGTGATGAGCACCAGCCACGCGTTCACCACCATGAGCGGGCCGCCGTACAGCGCCGCCACCTGCATCGCCCCGGCCTTGGAGGCCCACGCCACGAGCCCGGCGATCATGCCCGCCACGCCCACGTCCGACAGCCAGACCTTCTTCTTCCACTTCCCCGGGTAGAGGTCGGTGCCCTTTTCCCCGGTCGAGAAGGGGGGGTGCGGGAAAAAGTGGCTCGTTATGCCTCGCGAGGGCCCGCCGGTGGCGCCGAACAAGAGGTACGCCGGCCAGCCCACCTGTCGGGATTTTTGTTGATCCGTCGGGAAATCCGAAAGATGGAGAGAGACGGGAGAGGGGTTTCTTTCAGTGTAAGGTAAGGAGAGACGGAGGCAAGATCGAGGGACTCCAATATTGAAGGGTGCCGGGAGGGGGGGGGAGGGGTTTGGGGTACTCTCATGTTTTGCATGCATTTGCGGTTAGACCATTGACCACGCGTCCTCGAGAGGACGGAGCATTTGGTTGTGACGGGTAGGAAAGAAAATAACAAACTCGAGTGCTGTTTCCCGGAGTAGGGTCCGGAGTGCGTTGGCTATGACCTGCCACCGAAGTATTTGACTACATCCACAGGGGAAACGTGAAGAATGACATGCAGGACTATCATAGGTCAAGCTAGAGTGGTGTGGAGAGTAGTTGGAGGAGCCTTCGCGGGCATATTGAATATATTTCCTAACCTCCCAAAGACAACCATTCACGACTGTTGAGAATCAACGATTGTTCAAACAGCGATCTACAGTATCAATCAGCACACATCTAGCCGAACCACACTCCTGTTGAACGCATGGGTGGATATGTGTCGCTGCTGCATGGATGTGCCACATCCCGACTTCCACATTTGTGTGTGATGTTTTTAGTTGTGGGCAAGGCATGGCATATTCGGCCGAAAGGCCACTCAAGCACATGAAGTACCACCTCTCGACTTGGATGGCTTACATGCTAATACTGGCCACTTATTGTCATATATAGACCTATCAAATGTGGAGGGGACAGTAAGGTTGCCTCCCACTACAATCGTCTGCCGAGCAAAACTTGACATTTATGTCCATCCATTGCGGCTGTGGCGCTAGAGAAAAACCGCGAAACGACGCAAAAACTCCCGGGCGGCAAGGCCCGTCCATCGCGGCGGCCTCGACTCACCACAAGGTGGTTGAACATCTGGGTTACCCCGTAGGCCACGGTGCCGAGCTTCTTGCCCAGCACAGTACGGAACAGCTTGCGCTGCTTCTGGAGGCCGAAGCCCTTGTGGCTGACCATCTCGGGCACGTGCGTCTCCCCCTTCTCCATGTGGTTGGTGTGGGCGTGGTGCACCGCGTGGCTGCGTTGCCACGAGAAGTACGGAACCAGCAAAGCCGACTGCGGCGGGGGCGGGGGGCGGGGGGGGAGCGAAGTTGAGAGGGTGATCGGCAACCAAAATGCCTGACGAGGTAACCATGTTCACTAGGAGAATGCCTTCGCGAGTATCGGATGCCTACATGTCTCAAGCTCTTCCGCGACGTGAGCAACAGAACGCTCGGCCACAAACTGCTTGGTCGGTGCCAACATATGTTGCCGTTGCCAGGGAAACAAACCGCTTCATTGTCACCGATGCGGTACTACGTCTACTGCAATCCCGATTGCCGACGCTTTTATTCCATAGCAACTGCTGAATACAGCAGTATTGGAGCCTGTCCCGCACACACTCTTATGAGTTGTTGCCAAAGGTTCTATTCCTTCTTGCTTTTGCTCCGCGGTTTGAAAAGGCCCGTCAACCCTCGTGAGGCGCGATAGATATGGAAGCGCCGCCAGCGCGAACTGAAGGGGTTGGTGGCAATTCGCAGCAGGCATCAAAACGGCAGGTCCATAATCGCGCCCGAGTCTTCAAGGTCCGCACTACGGTAGTGAACACACCTCCAATTCAAAGGACGGGAACCAACACCCAACTGCACTTTTTTTCAGCGTCAACAACAACAAAAAACTCCTTTGCGTGCGAGAAACCCAACAAGTCGAGTAGCGCCGGACGGGTGCAGAAGGCCCTTCTACCGTGCAACAGATGTATGCAAGAATTTAACGAGAATGATCATTCGTTCTCACGTGCAGTACGTAGCCGACAGCATCCTGCAGTTTCCTGTTATCTGAGAACGCGCCGTGCCCACACTCGTGCGCCACCACCCACGCCCCAGTCGCCGCGGTGCCGCAAGCGACGGCATACGCGATCCAAGCCGGCAGCATGGCCAGCTGGGAAGCGAGCGCGGTATGTGTGTTACGTTCACGGGGGGGGCGGAAGTCGACACAGCAGGTGTCGCGAACAAGTTTTAGTTTTGACAAATTCGATGATGTAACGAAGGTAGATCATTGGGTGGACGCCCCCACGATGTGCTTCCGAAGCGAACTGCTTGCGATAAATCGCGATGAACCGGGAAAAAGCTACACTGTGCGTACACGTGATATTGTAGTACATTTTCGTGGGTCACGCCTCACGGACGGTGGTATTCCATACCATATCCGTCCATGCATGTGCACATGCAGATTCTCGTCTGGACGTCTGCACGTACTTAGATTAGTCTCGACGTACGGGGCAACAGGAGTATGTACCCTGATTTCTACGTAATTGCTGTGAAACGTAGAACTGACACGGTGATATCCTGAACATGGGGTTTAGCATTGACGTAGGCCGGCTGCAAGGCTCTGCTGATAGGGATCGTCCAACACAGCGGTGTATGCATACTGCTGTACGTTTTTTCATTTTTCAAGCCTGCTGCCCCACAAACAGATCGTTATTCGTCAATAAACGTACCAGAGGACACGTCATCGATGACGTCCCGCTAGATGTCGACGATTTTCTACAGAACAAGGAAGGGAAAATCTGCTGTTTGTAAGCCGAGTGTCTACATTACCTAGATCTGGTTATCTTCGCGCATCGTGGAATTCATGAGCAATGGGAGACTTGGGTAGTCTCTGGTTCCGTGCATCTATACGGAGAATAAATGCCAATGGGCCGAAAATACACAGCAGGTAGTGGCGGACCGACCTCCTGCGCTCTCTTCCAAGCGAATCATCGCAAAAAGTCTACTGCCAGAGCAATATTTACAAGTCTCTCTGTTCGGCACACACCATTTTTTCCAACGAGCGCACACATGGTACTCTTGCGCACCTTGAGAGGAAGGAAGGCCGCAGCGAGCCCGCCCATAGACAGCGTGATGGCGCACGACAGCACGGCGTACTTCATTGATCGAACGGTATCTTTCACGAAGCAATGCTTGGGAATAACATCCATCACCTCCCGCTTCGTGGGGAAGGTCTTCGGCTTGAGCGCCAGCCCGTTCAGTCCACTCAGCTGCACGCCCTCCATATCAATCGTCGCCGGAGGCGCTGCTTCCACAGACACCGCCCGGGGGATGGCCACGGCCATATTCAACGTTCGTGGCCGCAGCATCCCCTTTGCACTTGCCCTGCCCACGGCATTGCGTGGCGCGGAGACTCGGGAGAACGACGTGTGTGTCGTGAAAGCGCTCGATGTTCCGCAGGAGCACAGGGCCATGGCCGAAGCCGTGGCCGCAGCGGTTGCTTTCATGGTTTCTCGCTACGCTGTTCCCCTCTTGCGCAGGGTAGGTAGATAGTGAGCAGGGAAGGTGCCGTGTGAGAAAGTTGGGAGCTGCTGCCGTGTGTACTGTCCTCGGCGGAGTACGATATGTGTGACAGAGCAAAGAGGGCGCGACAGGTGATTGGGTGACGAACATGAACGTCAGAGCTTGACCCGCAAACACGCCTCCTCTTGAACACGGATAGATCTCTCGAGGCTCCCCCCCCTAATTTTTTTTTGGGAATACGACACAACAGGGTATATACCCTACCGTGACTACTTTTCTCAATAACTATACAGTCGAGGGACCCTTTTAGTGCCGGTTGAATAGTGCCAGATGCCCGTGCCGGTAAAATCTCTGCACACAGGCGGAGCTCTCAATAGTGCCAGACCGGCACTAATTAAAGCATGCCCGATATAGTGCCGGTTCGGCACTGCTGTCACCCCCAATAGTGCCGGTACTCCGCACGCGCGAAACACACACACGCACAACCCCGTGAAGATGGAAACCCTGACGTAGAACATCAACCACCGTCTACCTTCAGCCGAAATGAATTTGGTCAACACTACCAAGTCTTTGGAGCCCAACCAAGCTCTCCTTTCGAAACCTCTTCATGCAGCAGTGCGCCACATGGTGGAGACAGACTTGCAGAAAGTAGTAGGCGAGGAAACGCCAAAGAAGAGGGCGTTGATCCGCTTGGAGGAAGCGAAAGGCAAGGGAGTTTTGTCGTGGTTGACAACGCAAGGGTTGTCAGCAGATGAAAGAATGCTGCCTGATCTATATCGAGAGTCAATCGGTCGTGTACTGGGGAGTCACGATCGAGCAGACTGCAACACAGGCAAACTTTGTGGTGCAGGTGCATTGTTACCATGCAAGGACCGCTTGAGCCGAGCCCACTCCCTCGTCTGCACCAAGACCGGCGCCTCAACCTTCCTCCATAACAGGATGGTTCGAGT